TGGACACCTTTACAAGCCAAAAACACACTTATACCTTGAAACCATAGTCTCAAAAACTCTGACTAAATAAATGCACACATAACATCAAAACAATACAATCCAAACATACAGGGAACCAGTTTCAGCATTTTGATCAATTACGTGTCATTAGAAGCCATCAGTATCGGAAAAATGACATATATTTTCACACATTTCCAGCTATAGCATGTAGAGAGTTTAAGATAATCCAGCACAAATTGTAAAGGCCCCGATGCTAAGTGTGGAGAAAGTGCTTTGTTACAATCCATTTCCAAAAGGCCCCATAAGCCTCGGTCTGTTAAAAGCTCTTTTATTGGTGCAATCGCTTCACAGGGCTAAATAAAGGGAAAAGCCAGTACAGCAGAGGGATGGGAGCGGGTATTATTAGTCTGGTTTCATCACAGCGCTGAATTAAACTAGAGTCACCCAAATTGACTTGGCTTAGCCTCCTTTTCATCTCTCTAAAGGTAACAATGGGAGATGTACCAGTGGAGCGAAATTATGCTGAGGATTTATTAGCTGCAAGATACATGACAAACTGAAATCAAACTGAACTGGGAAAAAACAGAATATTGTCTATAATTTTTTTTTACTGCTACATTAAATTATTTTTGCTATTTTCATTTAAACTCCTTACAACTGTACAACAACTCACCCTTATGTGATAAATTAAGCTTCTGTCTTGTCAATCACTATTTCATCTTTGCACTGTTTTCTCCTTACAACCTCTTGTATATAGCTACGATGTATTTGTAAAAAAATAAAAATAATAAATTAATAAAAATAAATAAATAAAAATAAAAACTAAAATGTTCAATTAATTAAGCAGTTACTAAGCCCAAACCATTTTTCATAACACATTTGTTTGTTATGAGCTAAGATTTTTTTCATGCTTTATTAAGGCTAATTAAGTTGTAATTATTATAAAGCAGTACTGAATGTTAAGGCAATTTCACACTCCTTTGATTCCACTGACTCAAACTTTTAAGATGTCATCAAAGGAACTAAAAAAACTATTCATTTCTAGGCAAATGCATCCCGAAAATTGTATGCAACATCAATATGAAATTCAATAAGAGCAATGCTGAGTGTAATAGGCTATTTAGATCCAGCAGCAATCATTACTATTTCTTCATTAAGTCCACAACACTGCCAAAACTATGCATGTTCATATTATATTGGTCTAATTTAAAGGCCCATTCAGAAAGCCCCACAGTCTATAGCTGGCTGCTCAGTTTTGAATAACATTAGCTCCTCTATTGTCTTCAAATGATGGCGTTTAAAGCGATTCTTTGCCAGGCTGCATTTAAATGAGTTTTTTGTCAGTTTCGCAGTGGCCCAAACAAAGAGGTCACACGCTGCGGGGTTCATTTAAGTGGTTCAAACATGGCAGGTGTGAAACGGCTGTGCTCCCCGTGTGAAGAAAACGAGAAGTCCCCCAGAGGGACCCACACAAGCTGGCCATCAGTGAACGCTACTCCATTATCAATTAGAGGATGTGACAATGTGGCCCCCAGCACCAAACTTCAACTGTGTCGATGCTAAAATGTCTCATGTTTGCATAACCTTATCGAGCGATGGGGTAAATTATATTCCTATGAATTTAAATGGCTGATTTATTGTAGCCACGGCCCGAGGCGTGTTTTTAGTAGCATACGTCAGCATGTTTGTCAAAATGTCAAAAAGAAGTAGAATTGTGAGACAATTTTATAATGAAAAAAAATCTTTTTACTGTCTTTTTTCAACTCTTGAGTATCATCTGTCAATAGACCCACAAAGACAGTCTAATGTGTGCAGTTAATGAACTGAACGAAAAAAAGGTGGTAAGATTTTATAATAACATTTACAGCTTTAAAGGACCAGTACAGTTTTTTCCACGCATTTGAAACAACTTGTCTAGCCACTGTGCAGATATACTGTATAAACAGCTCTTGAGATTAAAGTAAGTCCACTGCAAATGTTTTTGTCCAGGAATCTGAAAGTGCACACTTAACATGCTAGTTGTTGTTAGCATTGACAGCCAAACTCCACTCTGACCTCTGAAACTAGTGAAAAGCTCTCCTAGCAGTGAATTAGGATGCCTGGAATGCATAAGGTAAGTGAGGAATAAGTTTAGATTCCTGTAAGGTTCTAACAGACTAATCTAAACTGTATATTTTGTGTAAAATTACTTGCCAAGTTGGCATAAAACAAAAGTGAGTATCACATAATGTGACAGAGCACCCATACAGAGGCAGCCTCATAAATCAGAAAGTGGCGGTGGCGTCTGATTGGCCGCAGGTTCGTTACACTGTGTTTGTGAGGCTGATTGATCCAGCTGGTCAGTGACACAGGTGCGCCATGATGATGATTAATGACGGCTAGTTAAAACAGGTGTGCTGTCAGAAATGCTACTGGCTCTTGCACGGCACCGACTGGAGATACTAATGTGGGCCATGTTATGCACTGGAGTAAAGAAATAAGGATATCTAAAAAGAAGATTGGCATGACAAATACAAAATTAATACTCAGATTTATGCATAAAATAATTAATAAATTAATTAAAGCAGCTGTAGTGCACAGGTCCACTAAGTATTGTGAGTTCAAGTCCAGTCTCTGGCAGTCAGTTTGCCCTTTCCAGTTATGCAATGTTATCTTGTCAAATAACCCTGATGGCAAAACCTATATGAGTCTATAATAAAACATTGATAGAGTAAATTGACAAAAAGAGCATTCAAGCATTAGGAGCTAATCCATTATATTTAATTGCCTTGTTGATTTCAAAAGCAACTTGGAAACAAGGCATTATGGTCATGGAACGGGTAAAATGACAGTTTCATAGGTGACCTGGGGCAAGTACTAAAGATCCTCACAGCAGCAATTCAAAATAGTCCAAGCAGTGACACACATCAACAGAAGTGACACTGAACATAGCTTACTGACTTTGCAGGCAAAAAATAATGGGTAAATTCATGACTCTGTATCTTCCTTTGCTCACTGCAGTAAAATAAAGACACTGGTAGAGATCAGAGCTGTGATACCAACTGGAGGAGACGGAGTTCTGCTTTTGTCAACCAACCTTCTCAAGGACAAAATGAATGTAACCGCGCTGCCGCAGAGTAAATATTATTTTGAAGCTGTTATTGTCCAGTTTATTGTCATCATTTTGGTTGATTAAAGCACTATTGTTTCAAAACATGACATTTTCCCACCAGTAGCAGATAAAAATGAATCCTCCCTTATATCTGGTGAGTTGTTCTTTTCTGTCTTATGAAAGCAGCCCCTTGGTGCAGATATGAAAAAGGAAATCACAGGCATAATTAACGGCACATTAGCGGTTAGTGGTTTTGGTATTATGCAAAGCACAGTGGGACACTTGAAATGCAACAGAGCTATAAATAATGATATTAGTAACACCTGTCATAGAGCTATTAGCTTCTTTCCTCTCTGGACTGAACACTTTTACTGACTCCTGGGAAAGTTCCCCAAAGCCCTGTCAGTGGATACATCTGTGTTTGCAAGTCTGATCAACATATGAATACAGAGCTGGATAGTCCAATAATCTACACTATAATCACATTTCACTACTGATAAAGGCACCAAAGGATCAAACACAAAGCATGTAAGTGGTTCACATGCACACCAAAATCTGATTATAATATGATCTCTGGACATTAAAGATTATTTTAAACCACAAAGTCTGATGTGAGTATCCCGGGGGACCATGATCAGAAAGAAATTAGACGATTTTGCTGTTTACATCTAATTTTAAAAGTCTTACATCTCCAAAAATCAAATTTGGAGTGCGCATGTAACTGCAGCCATTGTGAGATCTGAAGTGTCAAATACAGTAACAAACAAGTAGAAATCTAACTATGAACACATTTGTGTCTGTTCTTTACTTAACTTACAGGTGCTTTATTGCATTTTCTGGAATTTTCTACAGCAACCTTATTTAACAGTCCTATATTACAGAAAATTGATTCTTGTGAGCTTGTTATAATGTTGTTACCTCATGAAAAACATACCTGGTGTTGTGTTTTGTTTCATTCACACCTCTGAGTAACCCTTTAGTTGGTCTACATCTTCGAAGCTCAAAATGCTCTGTTCCACATTATGATGCTACCTTTTATCTTTTGTTCAGTAGAGACTGGAAATTCCAGGGCTGTAATATCCAAATGATTCTAGTGAAGGTGTGTGGAGTTTAAAAACACAGTGGAGCACTTCCTGTATTACCACATGACAATCATAAGGTTAAGTATTTTCAGTTTGAGAGAAGCCTAAATATGCAGGATATGTGTTAAACATGTGAATGAAGCACAACTCCAGGTATGTTTTTGATGAAGAAACATTATAAAGTAGATCAGAAAATAGCCCTTTTTAATTTATTTCATTACGAATGTTTCTACTGATGAAAAATCCACTGAAAAACACATTTTATTGTGAGTTGTTTCACTCTCCACAGATCTGACCTGTAACTTGGTCTGATATGCATCGCATCCTTGTCTTCATGGATATGTTTAATGCCTTATTGTAGAACAATCCAGACAACGCTACAACATCTTCTGGAGACAAGCAGGTGGCAGACTGTTAAAAGTTTCATAGTGCACTTTTAACAACATCTCCCTCAACTGTAAACTTTACAACCCTCTTGGTCCACTATATTATATTAAGCCCATTTATATACATCTATAGGTGTTTTTTATCTGCTAAGCACTAAAACAAGGTTATGGAGATCATACTTAAATTATATAAAAGCAATCCACTATTAACTTTCACCGTAAAATACTAGCATGAGTGTCAGCCCAAGCTGAAGTACAGAGGTCCATGGAGTCAAATGATACATTTACACACATTTTAATAAAAACTCAAATAAAGTCTCAGATCTCAAATTACAGTACTAACCTTCATATCCGTAAGTAACTATTTGTAATGTATTTGATTTTCATAAAACTAAATCTTTATAAAACAGCAGTACAGAATTGCTAGGACGTTAGCTGTACCTGCACTGACCACCTTGGCGAGTCTCCTCAGCCTCCTCTGGTGGGTTTTGCCTCTGTAGTGGATCTGGGCCTGAGCGCTGGAGTTCAGTTGGATGTTACACACTTGGCACATTGTTGCGCTGCTGCTGCCCCCGGGTCGGCGCTCCCGTTTGGCCCTGTGTCCTGTGGAGCTCTTCCTCCCCTCCTCTTCCTCCTCGGCCTCCTCCTCCCCCTCTTTTACTTCATTTTTGGGAGGGGCACTCTCGTCCATGGGGTCAGGGCTCTTGGGATGCTTCATGTCTGGGAAAATAAAAGAATCACCTTAATCACATATTGACGAAATACAAGAAAAAATAAAAAATGCAATAAAGTGTGATTGAAATTGAATGATTTGACAGTTTATCAGGAACTATAAAATAATTTCCTTAGTTTCCTTATTTACAATGCAAATTTCATTAAACACAATGATCTCACAAAATGTAAAAGAGTTATAACACATTTACTTGTATTGATGTTCTGCAGTCAAAATTAGAATCAGTAAAGCAAAGCACAAATTTGTATATTTTATTCATCATTATTTATTTTTTTATCACAGAAGGATTTAGCACATAAATGTTAGGATTACCCAGATAGTAACACTTTATATATGGAAAATGTGAGGATGGCATTTTCCCCCGCTGTGTCAAGGCCCAACATCAAAAACCTGCAGTGTGCATTTTCCTAAAGCTTCCACCAGGGGGCATCATAGCAGCATGACTTCCTTCACAGTTTCTTTGCATTCACCTCTCATTTTTCCACATTATTCTGAGTGTTTGCACATCCATTTAGGACCTGGCGTGTATTAGAAAACCACGCACACACGCACACACATACACACACACACACATATACACACACACACACACTCATAGATAAAGCCAATTATCTGTGATGCACTTTTAGTTTGAGAATGTATACATACGTATACAAATTTTCCTGCCATTAAAAAACTCGAATCAGGCTTCCATTAGTGTAAAAGGGTGGCTCTTCCAACACATGGAAAAAGCATAAAACCTGCTTTAAGATTAACTACATTTGTTAGCTAATAAACGCTAGCGACTCGCGGGGTGTACACAAAAAGACATGTTTCTTTGTGGGCGCCATTATACCTGTAATGGCTGAGTGATTATGGCAAGCGGGCGGAGTGCATAAATCAACCAAAAAACGCTGGCTTCTGGTGTAAACGCGGAAACGTCACCCCAACTCTTTGTCTCAGCCCTGTTCATATGATAATAACGTCAATTAAGTCCTTGTGCATTTCCACTCCTCGATACAAGCAACCCTCCCTACCACTGCCTCTGCAAAATCAGCATTTGTATAAAAAAAAGAAAAAAGATTTGAAATAAATAAATAAATAATCTTTGTTGTATGTAAAAAAAAATCTATTTGAGATGAAAGTGCAGTGGAAATGTGTTTGGGTTTATCAGCATCGGACCAGCAACGCGGATATCAAAGCCGTGGTGCATCGCTCTAATTATCTGAACAATGTTGTACTTGGGTGAGTACAGAGAAGGGCACTGGTCACTGCAGAGACCAGAGACTGCAGAGCTTCATTTCTGTGTGACCATGGCCCTGTTTTTTTAAGCAAATGCATAAGAACAGAAAATATAGTTATGCATCGGCTTTATCTCGCAATTTTTAAGCTATTTGACCGTAGCCAGCCTTGCACCTGGTCCCTGTATTTTCTAGTTTTTAAACATGAGATCCCTAAAGCTCAAAATTCCCACAACAGTTAAACATATAGTTAGTTATATAGTTATAGTTGAATGTTGTTAACACAAACATAAACAGTTACTCTAAAATGTACCAAAAAAGGTTCTGAATCCCCAAAAGCTTGTGATGGTACAGAATATTTAAAAATGAGTGTTTTGGGCTTCATCGCATAATACAGTCAAATATATAGGGTACATAAACATTAAATTAAGAAAGAAAAATCTAAATAAAACAAAAGACTATGTTTCAAAAAACACACATACATAAAAACACATTTTGAACATCAACAAAAGCAGCTGATCCAGACCATAAGCCGAAGACTTTAGTCAGAAAACGACCGTGTCTGGTTGATGTGAGGTGTGCAGACAGGGTCGGTCAGAGGGAGGGGCCCCTGTCCACATCACTTTAAACCACTGTTGTGAAAAGAGGAAACGGGAGAACAGACCTACCTCCAGCTGAATCTTAAAAGACTTAAAAAATGGTTGGTTTCATTTTCATTTCTAATAGTAAGATAAGAGATGTCATAATAATGAGATGCTAATGCTGTTAATGGCGCCATGTTAAACTGTGATCTGGTGTTGTACAAACCAGTCTCTCTCCTCAGCTGGAGGTGTCAGCTGCCACAGCCGATACAGAGGATCCTCACAGCTATGTGCCCTGCAGCTGTGAGCGCAACCTCACCGCGACGGGGCACATAGGCCAGCCTGTGGTAATGTGAAGATACACCGTGCATAATGACAAGACATAGCAAACCAAGAGATGAACATTGCCATAGTTTAAGTTGCAGTTGTCGTGAAACACTATGTTTAGTCTATGCCACCATACAAATAGATGTGAGCGCATAAACATATATGATAAAAACTGAAAATTAAATATATATGTAGGTACTATCTAGGGCTGCAAGATAAATCAAAATCCAAAACACAATTTTAATGGACACAATAAGCAAATCACAAAGACTACAATTTTTTTAACTACTGATTTGAAGTAATCATTTCCTCTACAAACAACAAAATATCTAATCTTATTCTGGACACAAACTGCTAATCCTGTTGTATAGATTTGTATCATGTATTTTTGTATTGGTTTGTCAGTTTATATTTCAGTTTTTTTGTAAATCCTTCTAGATATGTTTAAAATTTTGAATAGGATCCTAAATTGCAAATTTAATCACAATGCTGAGACAAATTGCAAGTAGATATTTTTAACAAATTGTTCAGCTCTCGTACTGTATGTATTATAGCATACCCTCATTCTTATACCTATATAGCATAACCTTACTCTGCCCCGCCAATGTTTGCCATAAATGTGACTACACTGTGCTTTCTTTGTGGTGGCACTTTTGGTGAAGTGGGAATCCCAATAATTAAAATTTAGGAAAAGTTTTGCTGCTAAAATTTGATATAGTAGGTAGTGTGATTTGTGTAAAATGTTCAATGTTCATGTGTATGCACCAACAAATAAACAAAGTAGCGATTCTCTGTGTGGCTTTAAAACGTCTCTGTAGTCCATATAGAACTTAGCTGTCAAGATCGACAGACCCATGGAAAACAATACAACCTGAATGACGAAAGTGGCGCCCACTGCAACCTCCAGAACAGATGAAGACACGAGATATAGGTCTGAACACCCATCCACCAATGATCAGCAGTCTACCCCAGGACAGCTGTGGCTACAGTAGCTTGACTATGGTCTAATGGTCTAGCACTTTGAGAGGCTTGTCAAGCATTCAAAACAGTAGGCATTTTTATTATTGTTATTATGAAAATGCATGTTTCACTGCAATATTCGCTAGAAACCTTTCAACTTGAATGGTCAGTTTGAGATAGAAAAAGTCCTTATCAAAAAGTATATTCCATGAGAACTATATTTAAATAATAACTTCAATAAAGTCTAGTATTTTGCCATTGACTCAGATCAGCACTCTCTAATGTTACCCTGCATGATTTCATGTCACTTAATCAGCTGAGTTAGACCAGGCCTTCATATCCTTATTACCAGCCAACATCTTACACATGCCCCACATCTTTGTTTTATGACCCAAGACAGCTGCATGGAAATGAACTGTCAACTTTACAAACTACTCTATCAGAACACCCACTCCGAGTTTATGTTCCCAGCTCAGAAGCCAGCATAAGTGGGGTATTAATTTCGCCTGACATGAGCGATTCATAACTTCTGACTGTAATATTTTGGATAACCTGTGTCTGTATTCCCAGTCAAAGCTCTCCACACACAGTTTTGGTAATAGTCCAATAAAGAATAAGAGGTCATCTGAAACAGGAGGAGAGGCTAATGGCTAACAGCGGCAGCCGTCAGTGAGTTGCCAGGTGGGTGCTGACGTGAACCTGGCAACCCACGCACCAACCGTATTCTCCTCAAGCTGCTCTGCCCATCTGCGTGACATGGGGCCCACCCTCAAGTGTTGTACACCTGCACTGATGCCAGCAACTCAACATGAAAAATGACAACAACAGCAATACCACTGTAAACAGCATTAGTACAGAGATTTTTTGTTTTTTGTATTTGATTTAAAAAATGTACAAATTACTGGGAAATCTATTACTCCACCACTAAATATCGTATCAAATTAAAGTAATAATTGACTGAAACTCTATTACATAAACATAAAACAAACTGTAGACAACTCTAAATAAAAATTTCATGTCACCTTTTCAACTTAATAATTTTATGTTCATCAAAAGCAAATATTTTACACTTTTAAGTTCATTTAGAATATATGCATTTATTTAACACAATACATTTAGATGAGAAAAGTGATGTAATATTATTCGTTAGATTTTGTGTGTGTGTGTGTGTAAATTTGCCTTAAATATAATAAAAAAAACATTATTTGAATATTTTAAACAGTATTTTTTGTCACTGAACAATACTGAACCTTTGTAGAACAATTTACCACAAAGATGGCTGTATATTTATAAGGTAATTTGAAATCCACTGGTCCATTGGTTTAGGGAGTGATTTTATGGCCACAGATGACATTATTCTAAAGTCAAAATTGACTGAAATGCATTTGGCCACTACAAAAAGCACTTAGAACAGCAATGGCAATAAAAAACAATTGATTAGCAAAAATCTTGTGAAAACTGTAGCATTTCTAACACCTTGTGCTGTTGTAAATGTAGTGTGTGTTTTGCATTTTCTTTTAACCCTTTTGTCCAGATGAATTCACTAAAGCATGTCCAGGGTAGATCATTTTCTTGTGAGATTGATATTTTAGCAGCTGCCCTGAAATGGCTCACTAAACATAATTAGTGACTATTTCATGCTTGAATGCCCTCCTTCAATACAAAAGGCACCTGGGGGACGGGGCCTATAGACACCCAAAGATTAGCTTATTATATAGCCATGTGCCAGAAGACGAGTGGCTTCAGCTTTCTGCATCTAACACATACAGTCTACACAGATACAACATCAATGCTTTTGTTTTTTATTCTATTTTTAAAGATGTTTGTCCAA